TTAACAATAAAAATAATACAAAAATAATAAGGAACTTTACCTGCAATGAACCAAGAGGGGCCCCTGGTCATGCGAATAGGCCTCATTAATACGGCGCAGGAAGGAGAGGACTCCAGTAGGGTGTTCAGGAGCAATAAAGTCTTTCCAGAGCAGGTAGTGGTACTGGAGAACCTCGTGTGTTTGGGGGTCATCAGGCTCACCCCATTCAGCCCTCAGAGTACGAACCATGTAATCTGTCATGAAGATTAGAAATCAGTGTCTGAATTTTGCTGTCTTGGATTTTTTTTTTTTTTTTTTCTTTTTTCTTTTTTCTTTTCTTTTAGCTAGCTGCTCTGGTTTTGTTTCATTTGCTGGAATTGATATCCTCTACTCGAGTTCACCTATTATATTTTTTTTAATAAATACTCCAATCCATTTATATCTTTCAGTTCTCAGTTATCTGTATAATTTCACAGCTTGTGTATTATCAGCAATAGTATTAACCACATGCCGCCACGGAAAACAAGTAAAATAATGGGGACAATGCTGTGCTCATTTTTTTTATATTTTTGTGAAATGTCTCTGCACATATATGCATCTGCTAGTGCTTAGCCATAAAGGAGTCAGTTAGTAATATCACCATTACTTGAATTAGTAGGAAAAACATGTTTTACTAATGCTATGAATATTGATGGTGTTATTTTTATTATAAAATTTATAATTACTATAATGTTATAAACATTATTAACAGCAAAATAAGATAACATAAATATTTTCGTAAATCAAAGGAAAGGGTAAATAGGCAAGCCAGGCAGTACTCGTAATTGGCTCATTGGTGATTTAGTACAAATGTAGTCATCAATGTGTAAAAAAACTGAACACACAAACTCACACTGGACATGGCATGTACATACATGCATTGCCTATCAGCACTGGGTTAACAGGGAAACTACTTTTCCCACTAGATTTGTTATCCTAAGTGTACCACATAAGTGGTGTTGGTCAAGACCTCTAAAGTTTCAAATATAGTGGCTATCAAAATCAATAACCAAACCATATAAACAGCAGTTAGCATACCTGAATAAGCTTTTTCCTTGATGAGATGCACTGTAATGTTTCCAAAGGTCTTGATTTGCCCAGCTACATACATATACATACATACTCATACATAGGTATATAAACATACATATACATATATATGCATACATACATACATATACATACATACTCATACATAGGTATATAAACATACATATACATACATACTCATACATAGGTATATAAACATACATATACATACATACTCATACATAGGTATATAAACATACATATACATACATACTCATACATAGGTATATAAACATACATATACATACATACTCATACATAGGTATATAAACATACATATACATACATACTCATACATAGGTATATAAACATACATATACATACATACTCATACATAGGTATATAAACATACATATACATACATACTCATACATAGGTATATAAACATACATATACATATATATGCATACATACATACATATACATATATATGCATACATACATACATATACATACATACTCATACATAGGTATATAAACATACATATACATACATACTCATACATAGGTATATAAACATACATATACATACATACTCATACATAGGTATATAAACATACATATACATACATACTCATACATAGGTATATAAACATACATATACATACATACTCATACATAGGTATATAAACATACATATACATACATACTCATACATAGGTATATAAACATACATATACATATATATGCATACATACATACATATACATACATACTCATACATAGGTATATAAACATACATATACATATATATGCATACATACATACATATACATATATATGCATACATACATACATATACATACATACTCATACATAGGTATATAAACATACATATACATATATATGCATACATACATACATATACATACATACTCATACATAGGTATATAAACATACATATACATACATACTCATACATAGGTATATAAACATACATATACATACATACTCATACATAGGTATATAAACATACATATACATATATATGCATACATACATACATATACATACATACTCATACATAGGTATATAAACATACATATACATATATATGCATACATACATACATATACATATATATGCATACATACATACATATACATATATATGCATACATACATACATATACATACATACTCATACATAGGTATATAAACATACATATACATACATACTCATACATAGGTATATAAACATACATATACATATATATGCATACATACATACATATACATATATATGCATACATACATACATATACATATATATGCATACATACATACATATACATATATATGCATACATACATACATATACATATATATGCATACATACATACATATACATACATACTCATACATAGGTATATAAACATACATATACATACATACTCATACATAGGTATATAAACATACATATACATATATATGCATACATACATACATATACATACATACTCATACATAGGTATATAAACATACATATACATATATATGCATACATACATACATATACATACATACTCATACATAGGTATATAAACATACATATACATATATATGCATACATACATACATATACATACATACTCATACATAGGTATATAAACATACATATACATACATACTCATACATAGGTATATAAACATACATATACATATATATGCATACATACATACATATACATATATATGCATACATACATACATATACATACATACTCATACATAGGTATATAAACATACATATACATACATACTCATACATAGGTATATAAACATACATATACATATATATGCATACATACATACATATACATATATATGCATACATACATACATATACATACATACTCATACATAGGTATATAAACATACATATACATATATATGCATACATACATACATATACATACATACTCATACATAGGTATATAAACATACATATACATATATATGCATACATACATACATATACATATATATGCATACATACATACATATACATACATACTCATACATAGGTATATAAACATACATATACATATATATGCATACATACATACATATATATATTTATCTATTCATTTATTTATTTACTTATTTATCTTCTTTACAAAACCCACCTCATATTCTCTTCTAAATCCTAGTTCTGAGTCTTTTAGCTTCTCAACGTACTGCGGCACAAGTTCCTCTCGTGGAACTGGCTTTACATCAACAGCTGGTTGGGACATGAGTGTGTGAGATCTTCTTAAGGATCTGAAGATTCGCCTGAAGAGAATGTAACACTAATGAGTATTGCTTAATGTAGACCATAACCTGTGGAGTACCTGCTTAGCACTTTAACAGCAATGTGGCTATACTGTTGGATAATTTGCTTTTTTTCATTCACAGCAAGGGAAAGATTATTGAAATGCAAATATCAAAGGTGGCAAATACTGCCAGACAGGAAGTGCTGCTAATGAGGAAAAAACTACCAACTGTCAATGAGGACATCTATGATTTGTCATTTGAAAATAAACACAGTAATTGAAGAGTTGTATAGCAGTTTACAGGCTACATATCATGAGTACTATTGCTTGGCATATTAACAAACATGCAATGCAAAATTTTCCACAATTAATCAGATTAGGAACCACAACTGAAATCTTGGTAACTACCATTCTCTAAATAAACATAACACTGAAAAATGAAGCAAAAATTCATAGCTTTACCCATAAGAGGTTTGGGATATTTCTGGAAATAGGCACAGGAAATAATAGTTGTACATTATTCAAAAGATTTTTTTTTTTTTTAACTCACCCTAGGGATCCAGACAGACTCTCTGTGACTTCTTCCTCTTCTAAATGCTTATTCCTTCTACGATAGAAACATAGAAGACTACATAATCCTATTGTTAACAGGAGAAGGAATGTGAAAAGACCAGCAGCCACATATATAATCTGCATCTGGGATATGTGTGTTGGTGAGTCATTGGTGTACGTAATGTCTTCCACAGGCTGAATGACCGGAAAGAAGTCAGAGTATGCTGTCAATGGTTGTCCTGTGCTAGATTGAACTGGAAAAAGAAAAATAAGAGGACTTAGGCTCTGTATTCTTAGTTTTCTTACTAGGAAAGTCATATAAAAACTGCATCTTCTCTGTATGACAAAGAATTTTCTGACACTGGTTTACTACTGTTACTACTGTTACCATTAAAGAATAATTCTTAAATATGTTCAAAAGGCTAACACAAATGTATTTATAAAGCATATATGAAAAAAATAGCTACTATAAAATGTAATACCAAAACTGGTAACACTGATGTCACCTTACTATAGTGCATCTAAACTTAGTAAATGAAAACTGGCTACAAACCTCAGACAATGAATTACTCCTATTCATCTTTTTTTTTTCTTTTAGAAGACTACATAATCCTATTGTTAACAGGAGAAGGAATGTGAAAAGACCAGCAGCCACATATATAATCTGCATCTGGGATATGTGTGTTGGTGAGTCATTGGTGTACGTAATGTCTTCCACAGGCTGAATGACCGGAAAGAAGTCAGAGTATGCTGTCAATGGTTGTCCTGTGCTAGATTGAACTGGAAAAAGAAAAATAAGAGGACTTAGGCTCTGTATTCTTAGTTTTCTTACTAGGAAAGTCATATAAAAACTGCATCTTCTCTGTATGACAAAGAATTTTCTGACACTGGTTTACTACTGTTACTACTGTTACCATTAAAGAATAATTCTTAAATATGTTCAAAAGGCTAACACAAATGTATTTATAAAGCATATATGAAAAAAATAGCTACTATAAAATGTAATACCAAAACTGGTAACACTGATGTCACCTTACTATAGTGCATCTAAACTTAGTAAATGAAAACTGGCTACAAACCTCAGACAATGAATTACTCCTATTCATCATTTTTTTTTTTTTTTAACTCACCCTAGGGATCCAGACAGACTCTCTGTGACTTCTTCCTCTTCTAAATGCTTATTCCTTCTACGATAGAAACATAGAAGACTACATAATCCTATTGTTAACAGGAGAAGGAATGTGAAAAGACCAGCAGCCACATATATAATCTGCATCTGGGATATGTGTGTTGGTGAGTCATTGGTGTACGTAATGTCTTCCACAGGCTGAATGACCGGAAAGAAGTCAGAGTATGCTGTCAATGGTTGTCCTGTGCTAGATTGAACTGGAAAAAGAAAAATAAGAGGACTTAGGCTCTGTATTCTTAGTTTTCTTACTAGGAAAGTCATATAAAAACTGCATCTTCTCTGTATGACAAAGAATTTTCTGACACTGGTTTACTACTGTTACTACTGTTACCATTAATGAATAATTCTTAAATATGTTCAAAAGGCTAACACAAATGTATTTATAAAGCATATATGAAAAAAATAGCTACTATAAAATGTAATACCAAAACTGGTAACACTGATGTCACCTTACTATAGTGCATCTAAACTTAGTAAATGAAAACTGGCTACAAACCTCAGACAATGAATTACTCCTATTCATCTTTTTTTTTTCTTTTTTTTTTTTTTTTCTTTTGAAAAAAGTGATACTGTAGGTGCTTTGCATATTTAAAACATATATATCTTTTAATTTTTTTCACTGAAATTTGTTGCATTTAACATTAATCTATATTTTTTTTCTCTAGAGAATAGGCAAATCAAAGTAACCCAGAACCCAGGATGTGTTGCCAGTTTTTTTCTTTATTGAGATTGGACAAAGTATAGTTACCTGCATACTGTTTACATAATTAGGTAAGTAAAATCAGTCTTTAACACTTCAGTTATGAAACATATCTATAACAACAGCAGTTTGACCTAGCTTTTAATGAGAACAAGAACTTGGTGAATATCACTTTCCATTACATGAGGCTTTGTTGTACAGCTTAAGCAAACGTAAATAGGCAACAAGCCTGTCTACTACTTTAGGAAGCTTACCCGAGAGTATCACAAAGCCCGTGTAGTTAGATTCCTGGGAAAGTATACCATCTACAACCGGTGGTAGGACTTGCAGCGAAAGGAGGGACCGCCGATTTCCCCTCGTCATGGCCCTTTTGACGCGACTCTCATTGCTGGTGGATGCTGCTGCTTCACCCATAGGCATCATCTCCCCCAAGCAAGCCGCACATCCCTCAGACCAATTTCCTACAACCTTTCCATCTCCCAAGAGCAGGTACTTGTCCTTCACAGACCACCTGAGGAGAATCCAATTCTACGTTGTCTACTACCATTATGCAATTTTCAGGCTTTAGCTAGTTTACATGATCTCTATCTGCTCTGCAACCTCTTGTAAATGAAACATGCTGTCTTAGTCCAATTTTAAGGACATTTATGCATCAACTGTTTTCCCAAGTGAGAAAATCTTACAAGATACTGTTCTTGCAATTAGTCATAAAAAATCTGAATAACCTTTGAACACGAAGCTATAACTTTTGATCTTTTGTGAATTCTGTAGTGAAAAAAATCCAATTTTCACACTATGCAGATTTCCCATGAAGTCAATAGTGAACATTTTTATTCAGTGCCATAAAAAAGAACAGACAATAACTATGACAAGCATGTATATGGATGTCTAAGCTTTCCTCTAAACTAATAAAGTAATTACTACTGCCAATTACAAAGCATATTGACTTGTGTGCACAACTGTGACTGCATGGGAATCCATTCAATTCAGATGTTTTTTGTGTGCATGAAGGTATCATTTTGCAACTTTGAAAAAGATGGGGAAAGTGTAAAGGTCAAGTGTTTGTACAAATATATACCAATTACAATGTGCAAAAATATGTAAAGAAAAGCTGATATTTTGAGTGTTGTGCAACTTTTATCAACACCAATACTCTACACATTCTATGGTCCCACTAATACTAGAAGTCCATAATTATCAAAATTTGTATTAGCACCTTGATACAACACATTTCACCCTGATTTCATGATAAAAGCAACTTACATGTATTAAAAATAGAATCACTTGAATTTACACACACAAAAATAATAACAATAAATAAATAAATAAATAAATAAATAAATAAATATGGAACTATATGGACTGACAGAACAAAATCCCTGACATCAACCTATGGAAAGCCCCACTTACCTGGAAAAGGCTTCAGCAACATAGGCTCCAGATGCTGAAGGTGACCGGTGGACCTCATCATAGGTGCTGAGCGGCAAGTCTTTGGGCTCTGCTATAGTGTGGACTGATTCCCCCTTGGACAATTTCACAATAACAATCCTACAACACAGAGGAATGTAAGGCATGGGAATATTAAAAGTCTATTCTCATAACAAGAACTGTAGAGCTATGTTGATTTGTAAATAAAATGTCATTCAAGATTAGAAAAAGAAGTCTTGTAATCCTTGTCCTTACCTGTGACAGCATATG